ATAGTTCAATCCAAAAGTATTGTTTAGTATAAAACATGTTGAAGATTAGCAGATAGGCTGTCAATTCATTAAATGATAAGCCGTTTCCTCTAAAAAGCTGTTTATTCAGCATAGTGAAGCCTCTCCTCCATTGACATCCATTCAAAAAACGGCCTCTGGTCTCCTTTCCCATGTACTGTCAAAGTGGAAGCGTTAGCATTTTTTGGCTAAAGGTTTCAGGCTTGCCTTCTAGTGGCTTTGCTTGCAGTCTCTACTAATGAGCTGATGGGTTGAATCAGGTGTGTTAGATGAGAAACATACAAAATGTGCAGTGCTGGGGGTCCTCTAGAACAGGTTTGAAAACCCCTGGCATAGGAGATACCTTTTTCTGCATGTGGCTGCCACATCTGGCTAGGGGATACTGTAAAGGGCAATTCACACCAAGAAGGATAAATTAAAAAGATAACTATAATTTAACTATATTAGTGTCCACACCAAAGAAGGATAACATTTTGTTTATTGTGTGTTATGTCATCTTCCACTTTAAATACTCAAGCGCTTTAATGCCAGGTGGATTCTGATTGGCTGTCAATGTTTTTAATCATTCATCAGCTGGGAATAAAATCATTCTTAAAAAACAAAACAAAAAGATACAAGTTATCATTATAGATGTAGTGTGGACTTCACTAGTGTGTGAACATTAGTGTGAACAGTCCTTAGGGCTTATACGGGATTCTATAATAAGCCTAAATTGCATAAAGAATTTTCCATACTCACAGCACTACATCAGTGATAGCTAAAGTGGTTAGTGAATATGACACGATTTTGCTGAAATATTTTGTGAAAGAAGTGGAGCATTTGCTGTATAGAGGATTCAGATGGGGTCTATGTATTGAGAACTTCTCTATCTGCCCTTAATCTGGAACCAAGCAGAGATATTGACTAACACAGGAAGTCATCCCGCTTTACACGTCTGACATTAGCCTTGTTTGTCTTTCGCCATATGTCACCTATTCCAGAGATACAATGTGTCAGCGACAAACACTGAGTCTTATTTTACCACAGCAAATCATTAGCTCCTTATATTCTCCATTTAAAGATTTTTATTACAGTTTACCCAACTAATGGCAGATGTTTGTTTATTTATTTATTTACTTATTTATTTATTTTCTTTCCTTGAAGAGTAAATTATTCATCTGTAATAGGAATGTGCAGAATAGCTAGGCCAGACTTCTGATTACTATCTTAATTCCCAGGTCTAGTCACACATTTGCAGCATTTTGATTAATGTTGAATGTAATTATCCTCACTGGACTTGCAGGTCAAACATGGGGTGGCTCAGCTGCCATGGGAATAGCACACATATACTTTATATAATCAACATGATAGAGGGGAAAGAATGCAGGATAATTTGAATCTTATAGTAGAAGACTGTAAAATGCTTTCGTCAAGTAAAATTTTTAGTTACATCTTTACGCCTGACATAATAATACACTGAACAGGGTTCAATTTTATCATGCGTTTGGACAGGTTGGGTTACATCTGATGGGTTATAATTGCTTGGAAAAGCTACTTACAAAGATGAACTTATAAAACAAAGCAGAATAGATTCAGTTAAAAATAAAAAATTAAATAAATAAAAGCTTGACTTGCCATTTCTTGCCACTTATTACTGACTTGCCAGTATTACTGATCACAGTTTCAGAGTCTTCCATGAGAACTGGTATTGGGGTGAAACAGTATCCCTGATGTGAAATTTAATAAATAAATCATTCTTTTTTTTTTCTGTTCTCATTTTTCTGGAATTCTTTTATTTTCGTATAAGAATTCTCTGGCCTTCTCACTTAATTCTGGTATGGAGCTATCTCTTAAAATCATTTCTGTGCATCACAGGAAAGCAGCTGACTTGACAAATGCTAAATTGCCTAGTAAAGGTGACTCTGATCCACAATTCAATTTGTTCACTAGAGGCTGTCCCATACATCAGTATGCATACACCTTCCTTTTTGACTAAAGTATTGTGTTATTTCTCCTTCAAGTCACTCTCATGTTACGTGTTCCCACTGATTCTCAAGAATACACTATCTGAGATGTATCAGGTAAAAGGCCTATGACTGAAAACAACCTTAGGTGGCCGATAATGCACTCATCTTACCTGATCCCAGGGACAGATGATTCCTCCAAAAAACATAAAGAGGTAACCCATGGCAACCAGGCAGGCCCAGATCACCAAGGAGAAAACTTGGAGCAGCTTCTTGAAGATGGACTCGATGCAGACCAGAACAAAGATAGTGAGGAAAATAGCCAGCGCAGTGGGGACAGTGATTACAAAGGCGACGTGATCCTCGATATCCTGCAGAGAGATTGCAGTGTTACAAAAATAACTTTAATTGCACCTTCCAACTGCACCTGCACTACAGCTACTGGATAATAGTTTACCAGATAAACTAAACAGTTCCATCTCAAATCAAACACACATGCCGGTAATTGTATAATCCTAAAGACTTTGGTTCGATTTTGCAGGTGTGTTTGATTTGAGATGGGGCAAAATTCTGCAGGACAGAGTTGGCCATCCTTATCCTAAATCAGGAGTGGGCAAGTTCGGTCCTAGAGAGCCACAGTCCTGCAGAGTTCACCTCCAACCCTAATCAAACACAACTGAACAAGCTAATCAATATCTTCAGAATTACTAAGGCTGTGTCCGAAATCGCCCCATACCCATAAAACTGAAACCTTTGTGGACATTATTGAGTGCACACATTCAATCCCACAATGCACAGCAATATCGCAATAAAATAAAGATGGCTCCCAGAGCTGAATAATCCATCTATTAATTTTACAAAGCACTCGTCCTTGGTGTACAGCGTAATACAATACAGGTATAAATTTATTGTAAATTGATTATTAAATTGCTTAATTAGGGTTTATACATGATTTCCATGACAGAGTTCAAGATAAATCCTTCCATCTTACTATTGGAGCTGCCAGTTTGCAAGTTTCAAATGATTATTAAACAACAAGTACAAACTATGAATGAATGAATGATGCATTTATATAGCGCTTTTTATTGTGTATTGCTGTACACCCAAAGCGCTTTACAATCATGTGGGGGGTCTCTCCTCAACCATCACCGGTGTGCAGCATCCACCTGGATGATGTGACGGCAGCCACAGTACAACAGCGCTAGTGCGCTCACCACACACCAGCTACAGGTGGAGAGAAGAGAGAGTCACAGAGCCAGTCAAGTGGATTGGGATTAGGAGGCCATGATTGACAAGGGTCAGTTGCGGCAATTTGGCCAGGACACCGGGGTTACACCCCTACTCTTTACGAGAAGTGCCATGGGAAAAGCGAAGAAGAGAAGTGCCAAAAGCGGCCGTTCTTCTGGTGCACTCAGTGTCTGAATTCACAAACTTGTTTTCATTTACTCCTTCAACTGTATTAGTGGTCTAATGTAGGGAATAGTAAATGAGGGTATAGGGGGCGATTTCGCATTCAGCCTAAGGCTTAAGGCAAGTGAGGTTTTTTTTCAGGGTTGGAGCTAACTTTGCAGGACTGCGGCTCTCTAGGACTGAACTTGCCTATCCCTGTCCTAAATGAATAAATGTAAATCATTAGGATTTATTATATGGGAATAAAACAACAATACATGAACATCTAAAGCCATGTCTATAATACTCAATGCTATCGTCTGACACAATAATGTAATGCTTTGAATTATCTTCATTTGGTTGTGTTTCTCAGCCAATATAGCTAAATCCAATTAACTATGATTCATTTGATTAATCATGTCATGCAATTAATTTGATAAATTTCAGTGGACTGACTGTTTTAGTAAATACACGGCACTGCAATACAAAGTTGAACCCAAATTATTATTACAGGGGCACAGGCCATAGCCATCATTTCAGAAGTGAGGGGAACAGAAATGTCAAATGTAATACCTTTTTTATTTTATTTTTTATATTTATATTATATTTTAGTATTATTTTGTCCAACTGACAATTAGTTTGTTATTTTTTTCCCCTTATCTCTTACTTTTAATTGGCTACTGCTGAACAATAACCAATAATTTGTATCACACAATATTTTTCCTGTATTTTCCTAATGAGAATTTTATGATTGGTTTATATATTACACTTTTTATACTAACACCTTTTTCCAATTCCAAATATATTTTATTGTTTCTATAATGTTTCATATACTTTATTTATTTATTACCTGGAGATGACTTGAAGATGAAAAACTTAAACCATATATTGTTGTAATTATGTGTTCATTGTCTTCACGTTTCATCAAAACGTTTCTGCTTTTTATTCAGCTTAGCTACAGTGATACAGTAGCTGGATGCCTTTGTCGATATCAAAGCCACTGGAAGGCAAGCCTGCAACCTTTAGCCAATAGAGCATAACCTATTATCATAACCTGCATAACCAATGTCACATTACTATTTAATAAAATATATTTAATATTGTGTATTGTCTAAAAATATTTATGTTCCCCTTCGAATGTTCTCTCACATTGTGTATGGGGAAAACTCCTGTTTTACTCTGTACTGAAGCCTGATTTGTTCACGTTTGTGTAGCTGAACAAACCAATGGTGCTTTAGCCTGCCAGACAGGGCGGAGCCGACCTCTATATAATTCGGCTCGCAGCGCCATTTCATCAGAATCTTCTTCAGCGACGAGGAACATCTCTTTGCTGACACTGCAAACAAGAAACTGAAGAAGGAAAAAGCTCAGCCTGCATCTCACCACCGTAGAATTGCCCCGGCAGAGGAAGAAGCAAGAAGCCTTCCCCTGCGGCTATCCAGCCATTTAAAAGAGCAAATTTCCTAGCAACATTGTTGCAAATGTCGTGCCGCGAGTGTGGCTCATGCAGAGAGCCCTTGTTTCTTCTCCGAGCTTGCTGAGAGAGGACAAACGGGAGAGCGGGGCTGCCTTCATTGAAGAAGGTGATATGCGAGCGTGGAAGAGCGAGACTCATCACTGAGAGCATTAGTCTCGCTCTTCTCCGCTCGCATATCACCTTCTTCAGTGAAGGCAGCCCCGCTCTCCCGTTTCTCCTCTCTCAGCAAGCTCGGAGAAAGAAACAGTTGAGTCACAGAGCTGAGCAACCCGGTTTGAGTAATCTCACGCCGGCACAGAGCCCACTCTGTTCACTCTCCCCACAGCACTTTGATCTGCCGGTGTGTTTTACACATGAGGATCAGCGCCCCTCATTACATCGAGTGGCTCAATTCTTCTAGGCGGATCAAAGTAGAATCCTCTCACCAATGATTCCGTATCGCTGACAGCTTCGCTTCTGTGTGTGCGTCGCTGAGGCTGCACTAACCGAGACAGGCTGCTTTCACTGCGAAAGCATATGAGTCTGTCCTTGCTTCTCTCGCACATCCCCTTCTTCAATGAAGGTGGCCCCGCCTCTCCCGCTCTCACGTTTCTCCCCTCCCAAGAAACAATAAACTCACGGGTTGAGCAATCAGGCTGAGTGATTATACGCCGAAACAGAGTCCTGCATGCTTCACTCTCCCTGCAGCACTTTGATCTGCCGGTGTGTTTTACACGTGAGGATCAGTGTCCCTTGTTACATCAAGCAGCTCAATCCCTCTAGGCGAATCGGAGTAGAATGCTGTCACCAATGATTCTTATCGCTGACAGCTTTGTATTTGTGTGTCTGTAGCGGAGCTGGTTGGTGAAGCTGGCTGCTCTCGCTGTGAGAGCATTCAGTCTAGCGAAGCATTTTGGAGAGGAAAAGGAAGGGATCAGTTCACGCTGAAGCCGGAACTCCCTCAAAAAAAGCTTGTGCTCTCTCTCCATCTCTCCGTTCATCTCTCCGGGCTTCTGCGATCTCCTTGGACCTGCTTCACACGCGGCCTCTCCAATATTGGCTCAAAACCTGAGTCCTGTCCCATACTTGGTGCCTGGGCCGGTTTTACATAAAGGTAAACCATCGCTGTGTCAAAGCTGTGGCCCCTTGGACAGCTTCTCGTCTGTCTCAGCCAGGCGTGCAGTTGGGACTGACCTCCAAGTGGAAGGTGATTACAACAGATGCTTCCAACTCAGCTTGGGGAGCTCTGTTGGAGGGCAATCCAGCGTCCAACTCCTGGTCAGCTCCCCAAGCAGGGGGCTGCTTGCATATCAACTGCCTAGAACTTCTGCCGGTTTTCCAGGCCCTGAAAACCTTCCAGCTGGCCATAAGGGGGCACCACATCCTGGTCCGGTTGTACAACATGACAGTTGTAGCCTACATCAATTGCCAAGGCGGTCTGAGGTCTCACTCCCTTTACAGGATGGCTCGACACCTCCTATTTTGGGCACAGAACGAACTCCTCTCGCTAAGAGCAGTTTACGTGCTAGGCAGTTTGAACCATGGAGCAAACATGCTGTCCAGAGGCAATGTTAGAGAGCCCAGAGCCCAGGATATCACCCATCTAGCACTCCCCGTCTCAGATGGTGAGCAGGGTCCTAATGTACTCTGCCCTGTAAGGGCTTTGAGAGTGTATTTTGAGTGCTCCAGCCAGTTCAGTCAGTCGGAGCAGCTGGATAATTGACGCCATAGGAAGGAATGGGCTCCTCCTGGGCGTGGTCCAGTGGGATTTCTATTGGTGAGATTTGTGCAGCCACCGACTGGTCGTCGCCATCCACATTTGCCAGATTCTATAATTTTGACGTCCGTGCAGGTTTCTGTCTGTTTAATCTGCCTATTTCTCCATAAGGGTGGAAATGGTTATATTTGTTGTCCTCAGCTGTGGCTTGGGACTCCGTTGGCTAATGTTCTTTAGGGGCCCTTAACTTAAGTGTTCCGAGACTGGGCTCGCAGAGCAGGTCGTTCTGTATCTGCTCATAGCATGGTGTGATTGGATGCGTTCCACATGCACAAAGTGAGAGAACATTTGAAAGGGAACGCTCCAGTTACTGACGTAACCTCGGTTCCCTGAGATAAGGGAACGAGCATTGTGTCACTGGCCGTGCTGTAAGCTGCACGCGAATTGATAACTGTCGCTTCAGTCGAATGATTCTGATGAAATGGCGCTGCGAGCCGACTTACTGTATATAGACGTCGGCTCCACCCTTTCTGGCCAGCTAAAGTGCCATTGGTTTGTGCAGCTACACAAACGTGAACAAATCAGGCTTCAGTACAGAGTAAAACAGGAGTTTGCCCCATACACAATGCTCATTCCCTTATCTCAGGGAGCCGAGGTTACATCAGTAACCAGAGCGTTTTCTTTCTTGGTTTTCAGGTTTTGCCTAAAATTAGACTTGAATTGTAATGAATATCATGTGACCATATGCCTTACGTTGAAAAAAAATGCACTTTAATGAATAAACATGAATATAATTATTGTATTATATA